ACAATTTTAATTAAAGGAATTGGGTAAGTGAATAACGTATCACCAAATGGGTGTCAGAAAAAAGAGGTTTAAGAAGGTAATAGTTTGAAATTATTTTGGAAAGGGTTGCCACCTGTTTGAAAAGTTGAATTAAATTAATTTATATCCAAGTTATATGGAATCCTAAAAATGGTTGTAAATTGTAAAAGTTTCAAGAAATATTTAGTTTGACAATTTACAATAGTTTTGATGTGCCTGAGGGTTGCCATCAGCGTAAAAGATTAAATTCAAATTATTGAATAAGTTAAATGAACTACAAAAAGGTGGTTATCAATTTAAATGGGTTTAAAACCCTTTATTTCTAAACTATATTTACTAGGGTTTCCGCGTGTTTAAACAATTTAATTTCACTAAATTCATCGGTTACTCAAAATAGTTATAACAATGTCATAGGAAAGATGTTTAAGAAGATTTTTAGTTCGAAAATTGCTTTCAGGAGGTTGCTGCCTGTTCTGAAAGTCGAATTTAGTTGCATTATACACAAATTGTATGCAATTGTAAAATAATAATAAGTAAATAAATGTGGTTATCAAACAAACGAGTGTTTAGAAATATTTACCTTGAACGTTTATAATGTTTTTAGGGTGTCTGAAGAGGATTGCCATCTGTTGAAAACATTCAATTTAAATTTTTTAATAATTTAAATAGATTGTCAAAATATGGGTATCAATCGAAATGAGTTTGAAAATAATTTGTTTCTGAACTGTATTTAGGAGAGTTGCCACGTGTTAGAAAAATCAAATTCAACATAATTGATGAGTTAATTGAAATATGTATCCCAATGCTAGACGAAAAAGATTTTAGTTGGAAAATACTTTTAAAGAGGGTTTCCACCTGTGTAAAAAGTCGAATTTGTTTTACTTATACACAAGTTAAATGGAGTATCGAAATATTATTGCGAAATTTAAGATTTTAGAGAAAACATTAGTTTGATAATACTTTTAATTGGATTGCTATCTATTTTTTTGATTAGATTTTCATACACCGTTATTTCGAATTTCCAAAATTATAGAACTGGGATTGTACATAGATGTGCAATAACGTTTTATTTTTTGAAGCTAAAACTTTTAGCTGTATAGAGTGTTTAGAAATTTTATGAAAAGAAAAACCGACACCATGCGAGAGCTCGCTTCACTCAGAAATGTGTTTATATGAATCTTATGGAAATTTTTTTGGGGTTTTGAATAGTGTTTCAACCTGTTTAAAAAGCTAAACTCAGTTTTGGCGTTTTAACGCCATGCGGGCTAACTAGTTATACTTGTTTCTGGAACTCCAATGATTGAAATAAATAAGTGCAAAAAGAATGCTTTAGGGTACGTTCACACAGAAAGCGGAGCGGAGCCGAGCCGAGCGAAGCCGTTCCGGGCTGATTGAAGCTTTCAAATTGCTGTAGCTATATGAAAGTGTTCATACAGCAAGCTTTTTCATAAGCGTTTTGGAGCTAAAAACAAAGCAGTTTTCGATTTAGAATTCTCATTTAGTTTTTATATTTCATGAAGCTGCTGCAAACCAGTATCAAAATATTCAAATAAAACCGAATTTTACAACAAGTCTTTTGAATAAAAGAGAATGTTTCTTTAAAGATAGAATTTTTAAACTTGAAACAAATATTTTATTGCAAACTATAAGTAAAGTTCGTTAAACAATGTTTACTTAATTTAAATTTATTTTTAACTTACAGAGAGAGTTAAGTTTCTCAATGCACTCAAGGACAAATGATAATGTGATCTCCAACGACTGAAGAGCTTTGAGCGTCGCTTGGCTAGCGCTTAGGATGATCCTCTATTCGTAATTGAGTTTAGCTGGGTTTGGGTTCAAAGAATCCGTCCCTATTCTACCTGAAGTTTTCAAGTCGTCAGTGTACTAACCTTTCGAGGGAAGAAAATCTCCAAGTTGCCTTGTTGCCTACCTCTGATTGGAGTCTTTTGTTAGAAATGATGGATCTCGGTAAATTGTTTCTGGGAGACAGTGCTGTCAGGAGCGCTGACCTTGCTTCTCCATATTCTTAGAGGATATGTACATATATGCCAGTTATTGTTGCTGAAAGATGCGATGTGCCAGAGTAGGTATTGAAACGCAGGCAACCGCAAAATGATGAATATATGTATATTAGCTGTGCTATCATCATGTATTACCATTTCAGTGTCTTGGAGCTGCATCGTTAGATTAGGTTACCTGCCAGACATTTACAAAATATTCGTGGTTTCGTGGTTTTGGAAGTGGTCATATCCACACGCTGCCTTCACAAAAGTTTGTTTACCAGGCTTAGTCCCGGTGAATTGACTTCGCTGGCGGCGCTGACCTTTTTCATAGTACATATCTACTCAAACGAAGCTATGCATAGAGTAAGGCGGAACTTATTTAAAAATGCTCTAAGTCTATGCTACTTACGTGAACTCTTAATAAAAAGTTAATGTGTTTGAAACTGTGTAGTAATTAATGGGAAATTTTTTCATATCATACAAGTACGTACATTTGTAACTAACATATATGTATATTTGTGTATAGTATGCATGCATACATACATATATAGATCACCAAATTACAAGTGCAAGTGCATTCACTACTGAAAACAGTAGTATTGTACATATTTGGAAACATAAAAAAGCGTACATATGCACATTGAAATCTCCAAATACTTATAGTTGCTTAAACAGCACACTCCATACTTACTTAAATAGAGACATTTGTTTTGTGTGTTTGCATATTTGTTGATAATGGCGTTATAATTACTGACAACACAAAAGCAATTCAACTTTGAGTACCAGGATTGTCTGGCTTTAATGGGATTTTTAGTTGATGCTCGTAGTTATGCCACTTAGTTGGTAGTACTATTCAGACATGTATTCAAATACATATCTGTGGACTTTTGACAAAACAACCACTGTGCTTTCGGCAGGTTGGAATTTAGAATAAATTATATAGGTAATTACCATTTAAAAATTTAAAATTTTTTATTTAACTTTCATTAAGATAGCATCTTAAACTACTCCTATTAATGACTAAACATAAAAATATCATTCACGAACTCAATGCATTACTGCTTTGAAGAGAAAATGACCTCACTGGAGAGAATTTGTTTTGTCAAAAGTCCACAGATATGTTTGTACTATGTACTTTTGTTTGTTAACGTGCCTGTTTTTAGGTACATATCCGTCCGCGTTAAGTGAAGTTAAGTTGATACAAAATAATATTACCGGAAATATTTGGGCAATATATCTAAACGCGTAAATGCCTCTTAACAATGTAAACCTCGTGAACTTTAATTTTGTATATAAAATCGGTTTATTTACGAGGTTTACGTGTTTACGAGGCATTTACGCGTTTCCACTAATACCCATTGTAAAAATTTTCTAGTTCCCTTTTCAATAAAATAAATGTATAGAATTTTTATTTGCTGGTGTAAACATAGTCTGGTCGAAAGCCCGGTTTATTTGATTTGTAAAAACCGATTTACTCGGTATTCGAAAAATCTAGATTAAAAAAAAAAACGCCTAAAATAAAAATACGGCTGAAACCGGTTTGAGAAAACGTGTCAATTAACGTGTTAATTACCATACCCAGCACAGATGGCTATGTTGGGATGGGACTAAGTGCAGCAGAGCCTATCTGCATGCGGTTCGATCAACTGGCATAACTAGAAAGGAAGTAAAGAAATTCGGAATAGTTTTTGAACCAGACCCAAATCATACAGTATTGGAAAATTACAGTTTTTGAGGCTTAAATGTGCTAACAATAAAATTGTCTTTATCCATACCAGATAAGGTAGGACACAGGTATTTATCCATACAAAAGAAAACTAATGAGGTCTTTAGTTGATTTTCCTACATGTTAATTGCTGCATGAGCTAATGATTTCAATCACTAAACAAACAAAGTTGTCATCCTTCAATAAATAACCAATAATTACTTTGTGCAGTAGTTAAGTAATGGCATGCCATTAAGTAAAAGTGCTATTAATTTAAGCCTAAAAGTTGGGGATATATGAGCATGGCTAGCACTACAATAAAATCATTTACAATTCAGGTAAAGTATGTATTTTATATTAAAGCATTGAAATGTAAATATTTTCTTATATTGGTAAATAGTCACATATTCTCGAAATTCCATAAAACATGTAATGATTTGCGTACATTAGGAAGAAGTTCGTGTTTGTTATTAACCTCATTTTTAAGCCAATTCAAACTTAGAACCTTTTAATTCAAGTAGTTTTAGGTAGTAAGTTTGTATGTACTGAGTGCAGTTATTTATTTTCTACAGTCTTGTTTTAATTATTAAGTTATTTATTCGACAATATAATGGAAAAGAAATGCATTTGCATTAAATTCTACGGCTCAGTGGAGGGTGAATAATAACTCGTACTTCAATGCTCAAGCGTCACTGTAGGAAAATTTCGACTTGATTTAGCCTTAAACATTGCGTTTATTTATAAAGCATATTTCTTTGGTTTTTTTTTTCTAATAAATTACAGATTTTTAATTTATATAATTTCGTATAACAAGTTCGATTTTTGCTATGGTGTGGAATGCTTAACATTTCCTTTTGGTTAGCATTTCCTTTTGGTACGTTGGTTTGGCTGAAAAACCGAGGAAGTACTTTCCAACTGATTGTGGAAGAAATCAGCAGGGTTGTAAAAAATATAAGAGTTACTCTTACGGAAAAGGGATGTTATTAATCTAAGGTTGGGAAACAAGCTGAGATGAATATATCGACACCTGAGTGGAAGATCGACCTATATATCTCGGCAGCGACTTCTAAAACGCCCTATCTCAGAAAAATTTTCAGTACGCTCTACTTCCGAATTTGATTAAAGACCGCCCTATTTCAGAATTTTGTTTAAAAAAACTATATCACAGAATTGGATTGAAGATCGCACCCTATCTCAGCTGATAACACATTGAAAATATATTGAGTTAGGGCGCTTTTGGATCAGCAGCTGAGAGAGGACGTTTTTGAGCCGAGTTCTGTGATAGGGAGTTCTTGAAAAGATTTCTGAGACAGGGCGTTTTCGAAGTGGCTGCCGAGATAGGTCGATCTTCCACTCAGGTGTCGATATGTATTACATACTAGCTTTTGCCCACAACTCGGTCCGAGCTTAAATCAGTCAAGTTTTATGATTTCAAATGTAACAAAAAAAAATAAAATTATATCACCGAAAACCATTAATTTTATTAAAAAAATATGCTTATTGTCCTGAACTTGGTTAATTTGTCGAGTTTCAGCTAAATTGGCCATTTCAGTAGAAAACAAAACAACTTACAATACATATGTTTTTAAATTATTTTTATATCTGACCATTCTTTTAAAAAAAATTTTCTCTGCGCTAAAGACGAAAGATATTTCATTTTGCAAATGTCCCCTTTGATGTAATCTTTTTTTTATTTAAACAGATTGCACCCTCCTCTTCCAAGCTGTTTTCGCAACAAAACAACTAGTTAGATGTTTAAACAGGTGGCAACCACTTTCAGTTTGTAATATTTAATTTTACTTGTTGATTAAACTTTGTTTGACTCTTTAATAGGTGGTACCTAACCCTCTTTAAAAATATTTTCGAATCAAAGCCTCCTTATACCTTTTCCGATAATTAATTGAACTTACGGAATTGGAATTTTGAGTAGATGGCAACTTTCTTCAAAATACTTTCGAAACAAAGCTTCCTTAAGCGCCATTCGTTTGCCATCCATATCGGAATACAGCATTCAACTTATTATTAAAATGCAATTTGACTTTTTAAACCGGTGGCAATCCTCTTAAAAATAATTTTGTAATGAAGTTTTTTTAATTCCGTTCGTTTGGCATCCTTATTTTAGAACTTCGATTAACTAATAACTTAAGCAGGTGGCACCTCTTAAAAAAATCCAGCTTATAAACTATCTGTATGTGATATTTTACACAAGGAAGGACCAACACATATACTCACTCACAAACTTTCCCAGTTATAATATTTGAAGCATTTCATTTAGCTTGTCAATTGAAATTCGAAAACTGGTGGCAACCCGCGGCGAACATATTTTCGCAATACAAACAGCTTTGGCAAAGCTACCATCGTTTTATACCCATATCAAAATATTGTATTTAACTTGCTAATTAAATTGATTTAGGATATCTAAACAGGTGGCAGTTTCCTTTAAAATATTTTTGAAATAAATATTTCTTAATCTTCTTCTTTTGTTTAATAACGATGTTAAAATATTTTGTTTAACAGGTTATTTAAATCGATTTTAACTTTTTGCAAAGGTGGCAACGCCTTCGAAATAAATTGTGACTTCCTTTTGTTTGACATCCACATTGCTGTAATACTTCATTTAACTTAACAACTATAAACGAATTTTTTAAACAAGGGCTTCGCACTCCGCAGAAAACGCTTCAAATTTCTGGGGAAATTAGCCGGCTTTTCTATAAATTTATAATATTTATTGTGTACATTTATAGGTTATAAGTTACAAAATTCGGTTTTTATTTATTTAAGAATTTTTTATTCAGCTTCTCAAGGCTTTTATAGCCAGTTTAATATGATTTTTTTTTACAAATAATTTTGTAAGCACAAAAATTATAAATAATTGCTTAGTCAAATTCAAAATGTATGCACCAAATACACAAATTTGATAACAACTATTGCTGCCATTGAATAAATAAATGTCAATTTTCACTTATTACAGAATGAATAAATTTCATTATACCGAGAAAGTAATCGCATTCTTGCATTAAAACGAATAATAGTAGCAGAAGCAGCAGTAGCAGCAGCAGCAGCAGCAACAATAACGAGCGCAACAACAACCAATGCGCTTCAAGAAATCACATTTTAATCCAAAAAACATGAAAAGCATAAATAGTTATTGTTTTCGATATAAATTCAAATTTTCAGTTTA